ATAGATTCATTTTTATTATTTTTTCTTTCTGTATAGCATCACCCAATGTAGAAAGAAATACGGACAAAAATCGGATTGCAATTGATAAAAAAAATTGATTTTAATCGATTAGAAACTGACTAAGAACGAATTGTGAAATGATTATAAGTCACTGTAATCAATTATTATCGACTCTGCGTTGGTATGAGTAGTGTTTCGATTATTCTAACTGTGTTGATTTTTTTATGCATATTCATTTGAAATTAAAGGAGAGACATAAGTTAATAACGGGTATTTTAGAAAAAAAAAATTTTTGTATTAAAACAAACACAAAATAATTTATTGAAAAGAACGACGTTCATTATATTCCTTTCTAAGAAAGGACATAACAAATAAAGAAAAAATTGGTGGGCAAAACAAGCTTAATCATATTCCTTTCTAACACAGGAGACAGGCAGCTGATAAACAGACTTTTGAAGAGATAATAAGTATGATCACTTTTCTTTCTAAGAAATGAAAGAGACAGTTATAATACAGGTATCTCGGAGAAAAGAAATCTAATTATATTTCTTTTCTAAGAAAGGAAGTACACAATTGAAAAGAGTTACTCTCGACTCGTCCCCAACTGGTCCCCAATTCGTCCCCAACTCGTCCCCTCCGCATTAATTGACTCTCAATTCGTCCCCCACAAAATTCGTACTCCGTTAATTGATTCTCAATTCGTCCCCCACAAAATTCGTACTCCGTTAATTGATTCTCAATTCGTCCCCCAATCCAATAGCTACTAATTGGTGGCTAATTTGATAAACAGACGATTTTCAACAATCAGCTGTTTTATTCAAGAGTAACAACGAAGCAAGAAAAAAAATAAAAGAAACAAAAATCATTTGACAAGTTTTGTCTTCAAAGCGCGTCCGTATTTGATCACGAGTTGCATGTCAGTGATCAATCCGCCCTTATGGTCGTTAAGAAGGAGCTCGAGATTTTCGGGTGGGTGCGGGTGTGGTTGAAGACTAGAGCCATATACATATCCTCATCAACACCCACACCCTACGAGCTTTAACGATTTCTTGTGTATAGATTTTGGGGATCGGCGTAGTCTCCTCTCGTGCACGTTTTTTCATATTACCAACTGCTTTGTCGACTAGAGGTTTGCCGACAGAAGCTGGTTGTTGAAAAGTATGAGTAGAGGGCTCGCGAAGAACTTTTGCATCGACTATGCAAAGAGAAAGCATGCTGGCACAACCACGATCTCGACAACGCCACTCGTTCCTCGTCTTTCTCGCACGCTTCTTTGTGTATTGATGAGAATTGTAATTGAGTATAGGTTGACCGCGCTCCGAAGATGTGAATAGCAGCATTTCTCAGAGCAGAGATAATGTCAATAGGGAAACTAATACACTACTAAGAAAACACATCATATATATATACAGAGTGCTCTACGCAGCAATCAATTTTCTGATTGATGACTATTATTCCTATATTTGTTTCTAATTGTTTCTGAACAGGGACGGGCTAATTGAGGGGACGAATTGAGAATCAATCAACTAGGAACGAATTTTGTTGGGGACGAATTGAGAGTCAATTAAGGGGGGACCAGTTGGGATAATTGGCAAGGGGGACCAGTCGAGAGGATCCCGTTTTAAACATTTCCAACTATGGGGTATTTTTAATAAGGAATCTAATTGTTTTTGAAGAAAGAAATGATCAAGGAAATATTTTTGTCCAAAGATATTCATTAAAACTTAGTAGAGTCAACTCCTTTATCTTCAATGCATCGACTCATACGGCTATCCAATTCATTGAATCTTTGAATAAAAGACTACAAGAAGTTGATTATACATCTTTTTAAAAATTCTATTGCTCTATTGATCTCATTTTCAAGTCTATTGCATAGGTTCTCAATGGGATAATGAACATTGTAGCAAATTCAAATCAATCAATGCCCCAATCGCTTCTTCTGAATACATTACTATCGAAAACAGTATGAAAGAGCTTGTTAAACAAAATTCGCAGAGTTCTATTCCAAAACCTGTTTTCGTGTGTAATTCTGACAAAGTACCTAAGAATTATCTATCTCCTTGTCATAAAACGATGAAAAACGAAGATACAGGAACGAAGCAGTCTTATAGACAATCAAAATTACAAATACATGACCAAGAGAAAGAATCGATTTCAAAATTTCGACCGAAATCCAGCAATCGATCATCTCTTCCAACAAAACGAACAACCAGGGATGAAGAAATCGATACAACGATGTCTCATCTTCTTCCTGTACCATGTAAAAAGACCAAAACTAATATTTCTTCATCTCAAAATAATTATAAACATACGACATTTAAAAAAGGAATTCGTACAGAATCAGCTACCGAGTGTTTAGGCTTTACCACCGTGTCTACTCGTTTTCAAGAAAATATCACTGAATCTGCACTTCCGATTAAAAAAACTGATGGACAGGATATTTATTCATCATCAATATCTTCTTCATACGAGACATATCATAAAACAACGAATACATGTCGAGATTTTCCTCTTGCTAAAACTAATATTCAACCTGGTCAATGTGGTTTACGAAATATTGGAAATACATGTTTCATGAATAGTGCTCTGCAATGTTTAAGCAACGTTCCCGACTTGACAAAATACATTGTAGAAAATGATAACACTAATATTTTAAATACTACTAACGATCTTGGAACACATGGAAAGTTAGCTGTAGCTTATGCCGATTTAATCAAAAAAATGTGGTCTGGTAAGACAACAATCGCTGATGCATCTGTTGTCAAACGGTATGTCAGTAAATTATCACCCCGATTTGCAGGCCACAATCAGCAAGACTCGCATGAGTTTCTTAATATATTACTCGAAGCTTTACATGAAGATTTGAAACAAAACCTTGAAGGTCTTGAGAATGAAATATCACTGATATCTAATATTTTCCATGGTCAAATACGTTCAACGGTTACATGCACATGCGGAGAGCCTTGTATAACATTCGACTCAATCAGTTTTCTTGCTTTGCCAATTCCAGATTTGCCACTAGCATCTTTTCATCAAAAATACTCCAATCAACCTCGCAAACAAACAGTAACTCTAACTGACTGTTTCAACGAATTTCTCAAAGTAGAAAAGATTGGAGAGAATGGTCAATGGTTTTGTAATAAATGCAATGATTTGAGGGATGCCGAAAAGAAACTTGATATCTGGATTCTTCCTAAAGTACTTATTTTACAATTGAAAAGATTTACATACGATCTTTGGAATAATGTTAAAATTAAAACACTTGTTAAATTTCCCGTCGATTCTCCTCTTGATCTTGGTCCATTTCTTCCCATTAATAAGAATCAAGAAAACACTCTCTATAATCTTGTGGCAGTTTCTAGTCATACTGGTACTCTTGCTGGAGGACATTATACAACCTATGCTAAAAATTTTCTTACTAAGAAATGGCTTCATTTCAACGATGAACATGTGCGCGAAGCTGACAAAAAAGTTATTCAGTCACCAAATGCCTATATTCTCGTTTATCGTCGACAAGAAACGAATTTATAACACTGACTTTGCATTGACATTACTAAAACTAGTTTTCATTTTTGTTTCTGTTAAACTTGATAGATAAAAAATAATATTTTCGTTCTCCATTTACATATAATTTAAGTTTTTAGATTCTTGCCGAGTCAAATGTCACTTTACTCGATGAAATATAGATCATGCCATTTACGAAATAACAGCACGAAATGTGGGATATTCCTTGGTAGAGATTCTTTATTTATTGCCACTGAACTGCATTCTCACATGAACGATATCTTTGATTACATCGTTTCTGACTATATATTAATCAAGTCACGGTGTGATAGTTTCAATGAGAACGATGTACTGTGTCCTCTTCATTACGATTCGTTATGCGATGGCTATACTCCACGCGAATATTGTGCATATAATCATTGCAGAAGTGCAGAAGACCTAATGCAGATAGGTGCAGGAGCTGCATTGTTCATTGGACATGTTCCTATTCGTAAGTACACATATAGAAAATTAACTAGAAGATTTTAGCTGATTCCTATCCTTTCTTTTAGTTGGGTATATCTGCCGTTGGCATAGAGATTTTTTTGAAAAGAATATGTCAACGAAGAATCTACAACCGATAATAATTTCTCGAAATAGATTACCCTGCGTATGGGATTGTGTCGATAAAGTATCACGAATTGTGAGTTTTCATTGATATTCTTTTATAACGGTATTGTATCAACAACGTGATTTTGTAGAATAGGGAAGCAATATTGCCTGAAAGCTCATTGATGACCTTCACGAATGAACAGAAATGTAGTAATCGTTCGTCCTGCGAACCGTCAACCACAACTTACACTGACCATTCGAATTATTCATTAAACGAAGTATATCGTTAAGTTACTGTTGTCAAAAATAATAGATCTTTGTTGTATTTTTTAGAATGGTATCAGTACAAGCAAATTACATCTAACGCTACGTACACAACAAAATGACAATTCGATCGAACAAGATACCGTAAGTCATTTCCGCAAGCATTTTCTAATCTATTTTTCCTTCAAATTGATCTACTCAGCTTTGCGAAATATTCACATTTCTAAGTTCAAAGAAAGGGTTTAAATTTATATTATCTCCGAAATACTATTTGGACTTTCTCTACATACACTGAAGAAATAAAAAGAGAAGAAAATTATTTGTAGCATCCAAATTAACAACATCGACTTAATACATCAGCATTAAAAAATGATGTCCATGTAAATCGAGAGATGAAAGAAAATTAGGTAAAGTTTTATCTATGAAGTTTCAGTTAGCATTAATTTTAAATTTTCATTTCTGGTACTTGAAATTGTAATTCTATCAATCCTTTGAGAAGCCGCAATCTAGTTTTTCAAAGCACTTAGGCACACTATCAAACTATCTTATTTTATGTATTATAAAATTGACAGAATATCCAAAGAAAAAGATTTACCGAAGAATCTTTATCGTCCAAATCTTCGCGTATTGAACCAACGGATATGCCGCGATTCATTGAAATCAAGATATGTGCAAGTCCTTCATCTATTCATGAACAACAAACAATAAGTATGCTAGAAACAGACACTGTCGCAAGTCTAAAATCTAAGATCACCAAAACGTTTGCGTTGAATGATTGTTCCAACGACATCTCTTTATTATCTGCTTCGTCGTTTCATTCAGATGATGTTCATTGGAAGCCACTGAAAAATAAAGATAATCATGCTCCCATCAATTTGTTGTTGGATAATGGTTACATTGTGACTTGTGCATCGTCTGAATGCCTTAAACATGGAAAAATACATTCTTCATCCAATTTACAACAACCAGACTATTCAAAAGGTTTGCATGATATTTATCCTCTCCCTGGTCTACTAAATTTAGGTAATACATGTTTCATGAATAGTGCATTACAATGTCTCAATCATATTGAATCGTTTTTCAATTACTTTCATGATACAAAGATTAAAACATTGCTACGAAGTAAATGCATTGGTGAAGAAAACAATTCAATATTAGCTCGACTGTATAGCGAACTCATCGAGTCTATGTCTTCATCACACGGTGAAGTGATTGTACCTGCCGAATTTTATACGGAATTCCAAAGATTAGCACCGCGTTTCCATAACTATCGCCAACATGATTCAGTCGAATTTATAAATATCTTCCTGGATATTTTACACGAAGATTTAATACAAATTTTACGAGACAAACATACGATCGTTTCGAAAATTTTCCATGGACAACTTCGAACAATAGTCACATGTCAGAAATGCAACCAAGATTTAACGACTGACAATTCGTTCAGCTTTCTACCTCTACCAGTGCCTGACGGAAACAAGAACACAGAATTTTCGCATACGTATGGCTACAAACTTGATCATTGTTTTCAAAAATTTTTTCAAATAGAAGATATTGGAAATCATGGACAATGGTATTGTCAACATTGTGACAAATTAAGGCATGCTAAGAAAAAGATCTATTTGCTCGAAGTGCCTTCTGTACTCATCCTTCAATTGAAACGTTTTAATAATGATCTTCGATCGTTTTCAAAAATTGATACTTTAATCGAATATGATCTGGATGATCTTGATTTAAACACTTATGTTGTTCCATCACGTCAAGATAAAAGTATTCGATACAAGTTGACTGCTGTTTCTAATCATTGGGGTAGGTTCATTGATGGTGGACACTTTGCGACTTATGCTAAACTTCCGACAACTCAAGATTGGTACAAATATAATGATGATCGAGTTGGTAAAATGGATAAAAGTATACATGTAAACAATTACAGTGCATACACTCTTGTTTATCAACAAGAAAAAAAAGATTTAATAATCGATACTGCTGTATAATTAAAATTAAATAAAAAACACGATTTTTCTATCATCATAAAAATCTTTTTTGCCTGAATATTTAATAAAGCCATTAGATCTTATCTCTCTATATAGATACATTTTTCATATTGAGTAATCACCATTCGGATCAATAAGAGTTGAGAAAATGATTGATCACTTTTGAAACTGATTTTAGATCTCTTTTTCATGTTTATTAGAATCGATAAGGAGATTGATAGAGGAAAAGCAAAAGAAACCCAGGTCAAAAAATCTGACAGCAGGTCTTATGCGATTTGATATGAATTGTACAAAAAATCGTAGTCTCTGAAATCTTAAATCAATTCTTACTGCAAGATTTCTATCAGATCCTACCGTCGCATAAGATTTTCTAAAATCTTATAGTAAGATTTGGCAAGACAACAAGATCTGTCAAGAGTCTTACGGTAAGAATTGATGTAAGATTTCAGAGACTACGATTTTTTGTACGACTCATACCAAATCATACAAGATCATATATGATCAAACGCAGAATCTTGTCCGATCTTAGTGTCTGATTGTCCGTCCTGGGAAGCTTTGATGAAGTACAAATAACATTGATTATATACGAATATGTGTTTTCAATTTTACGAATTTGTAATGCGAGGAAACATAGTAAATTCTTGTCGTTTCACTTCAGCACACAATTGTTTTATACTCGATGCTTCCTTCCAACATTGTTCTTTTGATTTCATACATAAGAAGCAAAATGTATGTTTACAAATAACACATTGGTGATATTTGCATTTACCATTATACCCATTAATATTGAAACATCTCGGACAGACTCGACTATTTGGAATGCCAATTGCTCGGTTTTGAACGTAAGGAATTAAATCATAGTTCAATTGTGTGTCATAATCACAATTGACTCCACAGGTGTAGCGTTCATTGCGTCGTGGCTCTGAACCATCTTTCCAGTCTTTATTGCAAAAAAACAAAAAGTTCGTCGACAATTGTGACATGTTTATTGAGCGTATAAAGTCTCATTGATGAGTAATGAACCACAATGACAGATTTGACAATCTATATATTTCATCATTCCACGAATTTCGTTTAATGATTCGAGTGAACGAATGAAATCAGCTGATACAAAAAATTGTATATATGGAATTTCTCGTGGACATACCAAGCATTTGATTCGAAGATCATGTTCTCGGAAGTATCGAGGAAAGCATGTCACACAAATGACACTACAACAGATTCTCGCACATGGCTTCTCATCGAGACAGACGACACATTCAGCTAGATTCAGGCGAAGTTTCAGAAGTTCTTTTGGCAATTCTTGGATAATGATATTGATGAGAATAGCTGATTCAACATACCCTCCACCGTTCATTCGACGTAAAAGAAAAATAGTCGTTCCATTTTTTATCAGATGTTTTCGTTTTACAAATTCATCTTTGTTCTCCAAGCATAAATCTGTATTATTGGCCACGAAACGATACTGTTCCATACCAGCAGGATCGATTTTATCAACAACAACTTTTATGAAATCTTCAAAAGTAAAATTATCTGGTAATTGAGTTTGAATCGTTTTACCAACTATATTTGTAAAAGCCACGTTAATAACCATCACTGAAAGAAAAACTAAATGTTGTGCTGCAAACGTTCAATCAAGATAGAATGAATATTTATCTTGGAAGAAAAGAATATTATTAATCATTTTTTCCCAGTATGGAACAGGAAGATAAAACAGTATTAATCATTCTTTTGAAAAACTGAATAATAGTATCTTTTGTCTTTTTGCCGTAAAGCAGGAATAAATTTCTCACTGTATGACAGAATGAAAAAAAAGGAAATTTTTTCTTTCCAACATGCAACCGTTCTGTATCTTCATTACACGAGTAGGGCTTATTCGTCAGTTCTTATCTTGAAGACAAGACGGAGTAAAAAGATTCTTTTTCATCGACTGTGAATCAGGAAAATGACCAAAGTAAGTGAACAAGAATAACTTTTTTGTTCATACTACACGATGTTGTATAATTCGTCTACAGAATATCTTTCGAATAAAGTAAAATCTTATGTTTTCAAGAAATCTGGATACAGTCGAGAACGTACTGAGAAACCTTTTCTTTTTCTTTCTTCATAGAATCAACCTTTAGAACAAAGCATGAACTCAACTGGGACTCATAATGTACTGGGAAAAACAGTTTCAGGCATTTTTAGTAGTAATTATCTATTACAATGTTTATTTTCCGTGATCACTATGATTATATTATTAATTCTTTTTACAGCCAAACTAGGCGTAAAATGTAGTTCTGCTTCACTGTCGGCTTGCAAGTCGTGTTTTACAAAATTCCGTACTGCTTCCTCCTATCTTCACTTGGATGTTCATCGAAGGTTTCTACTTAAAAGCTCCCAGTCCTTCTGTGTGAAGAATTCAGAACAAGCAGTGGCAGATACACTGGCTACAACTTCATTCTCTACGCCATCACAAAATATAACAAATGCGGAACAAAATGATGCAGGATTCCTCAGAATTTTTCAGAGGACAATAGACTCTCTTACTCACTATTACAAACAGCTAGAATCTGGTGGATGTGGCCTTCAAAATCTAGGTCTTTCGTGCTACATGAATAGTGCTCTTCAATGTCTTTGCCATATTGGTCCAGTCGTTGAAATTATACTTAATCTTGAAGAACAACAATCATATCAATCGCCATCGATTGTATCAACTTATCGTCGACTATTAATTAAAATGCAGTCGATTTCTACAGGTGTTACTAGTGCATATGAATTGAAAGTTTGTATTAGTGAGTTAAACCGACGTTTTACTGGAATCAGTCAACAAGATAGTCATGAATTTCTAACTTTACTTATCGAAAGTCTTCATGATGAATTGATGGATAACTACCAGAATTCATCCATAGGTGATCTTATGCATGGCAAGATTAGATCAACTGTCAAATGTCTTATATGTAAAACTGAAACAAAGACAGACGATTCATTTTTATCTCTTCCATTACCCGTACGTCAACCACCTGCCGCAAATCTTGGAAACAACCTAACTACGAAAATAAGTGACAAATTAATGTCTCCTTTAGGACACGGTTTGCAAAATGATATCACTCTCTACGATTGCATTGACGATCTTCTCAAAACAGAGCAATTCGGTGCAAACGGGCAATGGTTTTGTGAGAAGTGTCAGAAAGATACAGATGCAGTTAAGAAATTAGACTTATATGAACTACCGCAAGTTTTGATTTTCCAACTAAAACGATTTACAGATGATCTTACAGATGAAACAAAAACTACGACGAAAATTCGTATACTAAAGTTTCTTGACTTGACACGATTTGTTGAAAACAATTACACAGATCAATCTGCAGCATACAATCTTATCGCTATTATGACACATACAGGAACACTTGCCAGCGGTCACTGTACGACTTTCGCTCGAC